GTTAACCGGTTAACCGTTTCTAGAATTAATCGGTTAACCGGTTAACTCTTAATTTTAACGGTTAATTAACCGGTTAAGAATTTTTGCGCGGTGCCAACCTCTATTTATATGCAACTACAAAGAAAATCCGCCTCCTTCTTGTTTCCCTCTTATTTCGAACCTCAAATATTGACACATCAACAACAAGATCAAGGACACCACGACAACAACAATGATAATGATAAAATAGGATTATCAAAAGTTCCGAATTATAAAATTACACTGTAAAAGAATCTCTGTAAAAATGTGCGCCTGGGATGATTATCGTTATGTATATTGCAATGATGCAAGAAGAATAATCATCATGGGGAGTTTACAAATGCTATAATTTGAATTAGGACTCAAATAAATTTTCAAACAAAGCTTTGTTTTTTTTAAATCACTTTAAATTATTTTCTAGCCGAATCTGGCAATTAGCTGTCGAGTAATTTGCTTTTAAAATTCACAATGTGGTTGAATTTTACTTGCTTTTTTGCAATTATGTTATTAGAATAAATGAGATACATTTACCTAATAAATATGCCAGATTGTTAACACTCCATTCTTAAATAACTATTTCAATATTAATAAGTTGTATGAAACAGGCGATGTGGCTTATAGGAGAGTTAATCGTTCGAAGAAACGGAATCACCTTTGGAATCACAAGACATATCACAATTTATTATTATTATTATTATTATGTACTAGATTTCTTTAAAATTTGGTAATCAATTATAAATAATGTGATAGAAGTTAAAATTTAAAGATGTGAGACGATTCATCATGAACGTTAATATTATATTGCATGTGTGCGTGCGTGCATGCGTGTTCAAATTTGTTTATTTTACATTTAAGGAAACTAAGTAAATTGTTTATGCATTTATTCTATCTTGTTAAGAATCTGTGTTTGTTATTTCGATTAATATTAGAAATTAGCATTGTGCCGTTTTTTATTTTTGGATATTCAAAGACTTTTTGACAATAAGAAACAATTATTATTATGAATTATCTCGTTTTTTTAGTGGTGACTAAGTATTTTTACATTTTCTAAAAAGACTGTTTGGCTTTTTTTTTTTTTTTTTACGAGAAATCAATTCTGTAGCAATCAAGTATCTTTATATTTTCAAAAAAGACATGTTGTCTTTTTTTTTGACGATAAAGCAATCAATTCCTTTTTTTTTAGTAGCGACCAAGTATCTTTACATTTTTCAAAGAGACGTGCATGTCGACTTTTTTTTTTGACAATAAAGAAAAAATCAATTTTGTAGCAGTCAAATATACAAAAAAGACATGTTGGCTTTTTTTTTTTGACAATAAGAAATCAATTCTGTTTTTTTTTAGTGGCGACCAAGTATCTTAAAGAGACATACATGTTGGCTTTTTTTTTTGACAATAAAGAAGAAATCACTTTTGTTTTTTTTAGTAACAATCAAGTATTTTTACACTCTCAAAAAGAAATGTGGCTCTCTTTTACGAAGAAATCAATTCTGTAGCAATCAAGTATCCTTACATTTTCAAAAAAGACATTTTGGCTTTTTTTTTTGACAATAAAGAAATCAATTCCGTTTTTTTAGTAGCAACCAAGTATCTTTGCATTTTTCAAAGAGACATGCATTTCGGCTTTTTTTTTTTTTTTTGACAATAAAAATCAATTCTTAGTAACCTTTATATTCTCAAAAACAACATGTTGGCTTTTTTTTCTTGGATAACAAAGAAATTATTCCGTTTGTTTTTTTGTGGTGATTAAATTTTCAAAAAAAGCTTTTGACAATTGAGAAATAAATTATCCAACATTTTTGAAAGGTGTTGTTGTCAAAAAATATTTAAATATTATAAATTTGTTTTGCTTTTTTTTAAATTCGTAAAATCAGTTCCTTCAAAACGTTTATTTTCCGATGTTAGAAATCATATAACACCTAGTAGAAATACATTGTCACCTGATTTTGTTTCCAAATTATTTCTTAATGAAATTCATGAGAAATTAATGTATTCAGTTAAACTGTATTTTTCAAATATCTTGTCGATCGCTTTATTAATTACAAAAGGAAATAGTATAAAAGATGGTTCATCAATTAATTGCGGCATATAAAATGAAAATTGAATTGCGGCAAACTGCGGTTCCATCTTTTAAATATAAAGAATTAATGTTGTTGTTATTAAAAAAAAAAAAAGTTTTTTTTCTCCACTCTATTCATTAAAATATCAAGTCAAATTTTAAAATTTATAAAAACATTTTATTTTTATATAATGTCATTTAACAAATTATTATCTTCAACATCATCAGAAAGAAGGAACCTTGTATTTAAAATTAACAATGAAATGCATAATAATGCAGGGACTAATTCTGACATAGAAAGTAGAAAAGATTATTTTTTTTCATTGGTCAAAAAAAATGAGGAGCTTTCTGAAAATGAAAAAGAATACTGCAAAGAATACTTTATTTATTATTTTGAATTAGAGAAAGCAAAAGATGAATTGGGCCAACCAAAAAAATGTAACGGGTGTAAATTGACAAGATACACTGATAGATTCTGTGAAAGTTGCATTAGTTTACAATTACAGAATCTTTTCACCAGTTGGACATCTGGTAATAACATAGTTGACAACTTTATTCAACAATGTCAAATTAAGTCATCTCTGCCAACTCTTGTTATGGAATGGATACCTTTTGAGCAAATTGAACAAGTAACAAAGGTAACTGAAGGTGGATTTAGTTCAATTTATACAGCTACATGGACAAGAGGTTATATGACTGATTATGTTGAAAATAAAAAGGAGTTTATTTATTTTGGAAAACAACTGGTAGTATTAAAAAGTTTAAATGATTCAAGCAATCCAGGAAAAGGCTTTTTTGATGAGGTTGGTAGTTGTCACTTAAAACTAAAATGCAATAATACTGTATTATATAATTCTAATTTTTCATATTTATTTACAGGCAGTGAATTATTGTAAAATTAAAACCAATTTAATTGTTAATTGTTATGGTATAACTAAATTCCCAGATAGTGGAAACTATGCAATGGTTTTAAATTATTATCCAGAAGGAAATTTAAGGAATTATTTACAAACAAATCATTTAAATTTAACATTAAAAGACAGAATTACAATCTTTAAATATTTATGTGAAGCATTATATTATATACATGAAAAAGATTTAATCCATTGTGATTTACATAGTGGTAATATATTGTTGCAAGGTGGTAGTTGTTATATTACAGATTTGGGATTATGTGGTCCAGTTGATGAAAAATCATCAGATAAAGTCTATGGAATTGTATCATATGTTGCACCTGAATTACTTGGAGGAAAAATTAATGCAAAGAACACAAAAGAAACAGATATTTATAGTGTTGGGATGTTAATGTGGGAAATATTTGCTGGTCATCCACCATTTGATGATAGAGCTCATGACCATAGTTTAATTTTTGATATATGTGAAGGTTTACGACCACCAAGATTATCTGAAATGCCTGATGATTATGTGCAAATGATGCAGAAGTGTTGGAATGTGGATCCATCAAAAAGACCAACTACTAGAAGGCTTTTGGCTTTTGCTGATAAAAAGTTTAGTGGAATTCATACAGCTGAAAGTTTGGAAAATAATAGTAACAATAATAAAATTTTTGGTAGCAGCAGCAGCAGCAATGGTGGTGGTGGTGGTGATTTGCAACAAGTACACAAATCACATCCAGATGCATATTATACAAGTAGAATATTAAATGAGGAGATTGCTAAATCTATAAGATTTAAAGATTATACAAATAATGATGGTTCATTAAATAGTTTTGATTTTCTCTTAAATGCTGAAGGTGAATAAAATTTTATTATTAATTAATTGGAAATTACTATCCATTAATTATATTACTAACAATTTGATTCGATTGATTAATAAACGTCAGATTCTAGTAATTAAAAGATGATGAATGATCTCGCACGGAATTTGGAAAATTACAAAAATAGCCATTTTCCCGAGTACCATCACAACCTTTCTTATTTAGAAAATGATATTCAATGCACCCTGCTTTTGTTTAAAAAAATTTTATTTATCCCAAATAAAGAGATAATAATAACATGTGTAAAATATAAAAGTTCCCTTGGAATTTTCACACTTTTAAATCCGGCTTAAATGAATTTCATATCAAAAGGCTTGGCCCAAATTTTTTATAGTTTACTAAGTGCAACTTTAAAAAAAAAATTAATTTTTTGGAATTTTGAAAAATACGCTTACTTCGGTACCAATAAAACATCTAAAAAAGAAAAATCGAAAAAAAAATCGCTGGTCAATTAGTAATTTTTTCGTCTAGTAGGGGTCTACATTTTTTTAAAAATTCCGTGCTGATTAGCACGGAATTCTTGTACGTTTAATATTAAGATAAATTTATTTGTTATATATAATTACTTATTTCATTTTAAGCTTTTTACAGTTTTCTGATTCTTGTTAAACAAGCAACTCCCCTTTTCTTGTACCTATATAGAAAGCTTTAACAAATATATAAGCACACTTGATGGTACCAAATAACCGTAAATAAATAAAATGGCTCTTTTATAAAACTCAAAGGTTTCTTCAATTGTTTTTTTTAGGAATTTTTATAATGTTTGGTGCAATTCTTTTTTTTAAAAAAATTGATCGCTCTTGAGGAGCACATATCATTTTTGTAAGCCAATAGTAATGGGTTGATGGCTTTTCGCAGTCGTCTAAATTTTTATTCGACGACATAAAAAAAGGTGATTAAAAAATAATCTATATAATAATGGTCATAAAACACGACAAATTTAAAAAATTCCCACAATACGTCCTCTTTCTTCTATATATATATATATAAATAAATAACAATGCAACGTCTACTCTCCATAGGAAATTTCAAATTAGCAGCAGTTGTAAAACCTATACGACCAAGGGTATGAAATGCTCATATAATCATTTAAAACATTTTGAAAATGCAATTCACAAGTCTAAATTAAAGTTTTGAGTTTTGTTGCAAAAAAATTTTTTCTGTATGACAATAGTATTTTACTTCAGTCAAACAATCAAAAGTTCCATTACCTGAAGAATGGTCTAAACTTGTAACTAAAGAACTAAAAGGAAAAGATCCAGAAAAGGTTTTGACGTGGCACACTTCTGAGGTAAAAATACCTGTAATATTAATGATTTAATTTTACATTATATATAATTTGGAAAAAAATTACATGCTTGCTTAATTTATAAGGGCATAGATGTCAAACCTGTATTTACAAAAGCTGATGTAGAAAATGTTGCGGATGAAGTTCCTGGAAAATATCCTTTTACAAGAGGTCCTTACGCGTCCATGTATACTGCAAGACCATGGACCATACGACAGGTAAAACAAAAAAATCAATTGAATCAATTGATTGATTTAATCTATCAATTGTTTTGACATTTGAAATTTTTTTTTCCCCCTAGTATGCTGGATTCAGTACAGTTGAAGAATCCAATGCTTTTTATAGAAAAAATTTAGCTGCGGGTCAACAAGGTTTATCAGTTGCTTTCGATTTGGCTACGCATCGAGGGTATTTGTTTATATATTTATAAATCTTAAATTCAAATTTATGTTATTTTCAATTGAGTTAATTTGATTTCACCATCGTTTGATTTAGATATGATTCTGATCATCCTCGTGTGGTAGGAGATGTAGGTATGGCTGGTGTAGCAATTGACTCAGTTGAAGACATGAAGGTGTGTGCAATCTTGATTGATTGTATAAAACGAATGATGGTTATTTAAAAAATGATTATAATAATATTTTCCTCCTTTGATTTCTTTAGATTCTTTTTGATGGTATACCTTTAAATAAAATGTCAGTATCAATGACAATGAATGGTGCAGTTTTACCAATTTTGGCAATGTATATTGTCACTGGTGTAGAACAAGGTGCACAGTTAAAAGAACTTTCAGGCACTATCCAAAATGATATTTTAAAAGAGTTTATGGTTCGTAACACCTTCGTTTATCCTCCTGAACCATCCATGAGGCTTATTGGTGATATATTTTCTTATATTGCAAAGGTTTGCTTTACATATGATTTATTTCATATTTTTTTTTAGGGGGATTTATAGGTTCTGATTATTTTTTTTTTTCATAGCATATGCCAAAATATAATTCCATTTCTATATCAGGATATCATATGCAAGAAGCTGGAGCTGATAATGTACTTGAATTGGCTTTTACAATTGCTGATGGTTTGGAATATATCAGAACAGGCAAGTTTTTTTTTTTTTGAAAAAAATTTATTATAAAAAAATTTCAAGTACATAATATATGTATATATTATATATATATATATATAGGAATTAAAGCTGGTATGACGGTAGATGATTTTGCACCACGTTTATCATTCTTTTGGGGTATAGGGATGAATTTTTACATGGTGATTTATTATTATTATTATTGTTATTATTAGTTCACTTAAAAGATTGTTACATATTTATATATACATACATATATCTCATCTTTATTATTTATAGGAAATAGCAAAAATGCGAGCAGCTAGACGTTTATGGGCACATATGGTAAATGAAAAATTTCAACCAAAAAATCAAAAATCGTTGATGTTACGTACGCATTGTCAAACATCCGGATGGTCACTTACAGAACAAGTATGTTAAAAATATACATCATCAATGTATATATATGTTTTGATGTTAAAGTAAAGCACTTTTAACAACGACGGAACATTCCAAAATAGGATCCGTATAATAATATTGTACGAACAACTATTGAAGCGATGGCAGCAGTACTTGGTGGCACGCAATCTCTTCACACAAATTCATTTGATGAAGCTATTGGACTTCCTACAGAGTTTTCGGCAAGGATTGCCCGGAATACACAATTGATTCTGCAAGAAGAAGCATTTATACCCAAGGTCGCTGATCCATGGGGTGGCAGTTATATGATGGAAAGTTTGACTAATTGTGTTTATGAGTCTTCGAGAGAAATTATTGAAGAAGTTGAAAGCATGGGTGGTATGGCAAAAGCCGTTGCGAGCGGTTTACCCAAATTAAAAATTGAAGAAAGTGCAGCTCGACGGCAGGCTAGAATTGATTCTGGACAGGGTAAAAAAATATATATAAAGATTTCGATATTCAAGTTTTATAAAAAAAATTTTTTTTTACTTGAATATTTTTATTTCTTTTGATAGAGACAATTGTGGGAGTTAATAAGTATCGTCTTGAAAAAGAAATTGCAGTTGAAGCTCGAGCCATTGACAATAGCAAAGTAAGAGATGGACAAATAAAGCATATAAATGAAATGAAAGCTAAAAGAGATCCTGTCCGGGTTAGTTGATGATCGATTATAAAAAACTTTTCATTAATTAATTTATTAGAAAATTGATTAAATTGATTTGTTTATCACTACTATTACTGCTTGCTGTACCGCTATTATTATTATAAAGGCTCAAAAATCTTTGGAGGCTCTTACTGAATGTGCAAAAACAGGAGATGGAAATTTACTTGAATTATCAATAGAAGTAATTAATATACCTTTTTATTTTTTTAAAAAAATTATTTATTACATACATGATTATTCAAATATACATTAATTTTTAAAAAGGCAGCAAAAGCAAGATGTACAGTTGGTGAAATATCTTACGCATTAGAAAAAATATGGGGTCGTCATGAACCTAGTAGCAGAGTTGCTAGTGGTGCTTACAAATCAGCATATGGAGAAGCAGAAGAAGCAGAAGAAACCATTAGATTAGTCAAAGTAAATTTTTTTACTGCTGACTACTATTCTGTACTTGATTGATCGATGATATGCGACCGATAATTAATTTTTAAAATATTTTAGGAAACAGGAGAAAAATTAGGTGTTAATCCCAGAATTTTAGTGGCAAAATGCGGTCAAGATGGACATGACAGGGGAGCGAAAGTGATCGCCTCGGCATTTAGTGATTTCGGATTTGATGTTGATTTATCACCATTATTTAGTACTCCGGAGGAAGTTGTACGTCAAGCAATTGATAATGATGTACATGTTATTGGTATATCATCACAAGCAGCCGGTCACAAAACACTTGTACCAGCCGTAATCCAAGAACTTCATCGATTAGGTGTTAATGATAAAATTGTGGTGGTTGGTGGTGTAATTCCACATCAAGATTATCAATTTTTAAAAGATGCTGGTGTAAGTTCTATCTTTGGACCGGGCACAAAAATTCCTGAAGCCGCCAAAGAAGTTGTTTTAAAAATACAAGATGTGATACGGAAAGATGATCATGCTTCTTCTAATACTTTATGATAATTGTTGTAGACTTTTATTTATAATTGTAAAATGCCGCGGGTGTCCAATAAATTTTATTACTATGTATTAATATATTGACTCAATAGAAGCGCACTTTATACTGATATATTTGGTGATTATCCATAATTTGTATACATATTAAACTCTATTCTTATCTACCCACTTGCAATTGCTTTAGACAATGGTATTGATAGAGATTTGATTATGTTCATGAGCTTGACCACCTTTTTTTTTGAAGAGAAGTGCGATCAAAAAATTTGTAGTTACCTCAAATGATTATCTACAGTCAAATTACATTTATATAAATATACAACAAGAGCTACTGCACAACAAAACTTGTAACCAAAAAAATCTTTTATAATTGTGGTGTATATAGTAAACCTTCATCACGTTATCACTTTTCAGTATCATTGAGTGTCATGATATCTCCAAAATAATTTAACTTTGCTGAAGGCCTGAATTTGGATCATTATGTGATACATTTGATGTTATTGTTTTAACAAATAATTGCATCATCCAAGTAACAATATTACTAAGATCATGCAGATATGGAATTGTAAATTTTCTTCTACTGTGTTTTCCAAAGGAAAGC